TTTTTTTTTTTTTTTTAAATCATGCATAGCCTTGTCGAAGAAGGATTCTTTAGGCATCATTTGGAGGATCAATTGTACTATTTCTTGAAGAAACACTTGCACTTGCAAGTTGAGAATATACTTTTCCTAGTGTCGAACCGTAGCAAGGATTTTTTTTAATTAACTCCTAAAATGCAGACCTACATGCAATCAATCACGGTGAGGCTCGAAGAGTGGAGGCTCAAGTGCCGAGACACCGAGGAGTGGATGAGGCACCGGAAGCTTCTGGAAGATCTCCAACAACGCGTGAGGCGTTTCATGCAGTACAAGTGGTTCACCACACGAGGGGTCGACGAGGAAACTATTCTACACGCTCTGCCCACGGACCTTCGTCGTGACAATCAACGACACCTTTGTCTTGCCCTCGTTCGTCGTATAAGATTTCGCCATTTCTCTTTTAAAAAATCGGAATATAAAAGCTTAGGCCCTTTTGCAAAAAGTGCCACCTTTTGTCTATTAACATTTGTGATAACATTACAACCAAAAGTGGCATTTTTTTTTTTATTTTTTGCAGAGAGAAAGTGTTACTTCTTAGGTCGTGCTTGTTTACAAAAAAACTGTTCATTTTTTTATTTTTTACTTTTTTTTTCTGGTTTTTTGTGTTAACTAGAGTTTATTTGAAAAAGGTTAGTATGGTTAGTTGTTAGTGGGATTTTAAGAATGTATTAAGATAATATTTAAAATAAAATGGTTAAAATTTATATGTTGTAAAAGGATATCAACGATTGGAGATGATTGGTAGTTAAAATTATGTGAGTGGATGAATGATGAATTAAGTTGATGTGGTTCATAAGAATGATTGAATAATATTATTTAATTATATTGATAATATTAAAAATATTAGGGTTGAGTTAAAGTTGAGTTAGATTTTTAACCGAGATAGACCTTTTTTCTAGTTTTTGATAAACAAGCAAAGCCCTAGTATTCTTTTTTTTTTTTTTTATTTTAGGTCCCGTTTTTCTCGCAAATGGACGATCAACTCCTAGACGCGATTTGCGAGCGGTTGGTCTCCTCTCTGAGCATATAAGGCACGTACATTGTTCGTGAGGGTGACCCGGTGACCGAGATGCTGTTCGTTATGTTGGAAAAATCAGTTGTAAAATATGGGTTTTACCCGATTTTGACTGAATTTTTTATGGCTAAATATTTAATTTGAGTTGAATTAAATATTTTAGAAAAATTCTACGTTCCGAGTAGATACTCGTGGTATATTTATTTTCTCAAAACTAATTTTCGGTGAGTGAGAAATAAATTGTTAAAGTTAGCCATAAAAGAGCACGTAAAACG